GTTTTCTGATGTTCCTCTCATTTTTTTTTACATTTTTTACATTTTCTTTAATAAGTGCGTTCACTTGATTGACTACGGATAGAATAGACTGATTGATAGCGGTTCACTGCCGTTTCTATAGCCAAGGGATATTGGGATACATTATAATGTGTACAAATAGATAACTTTATTTATTTGTTTTATAATCTCAAATATTCTTTTCCATATTTGTGGATCGAACTCGAGACTGCTTGCTCAAATACAAAACTAAAAAAAGTTGAAAATATAGTAATATGTTTCGAACAAAAAAGAAGCTAGGTACATACGCAGAATAGGTATTTGTAACTTTTATGAGGAGAACAGGAGGGCACTAAAAGTGAATAGAAAGGTCTTTATGTAAATTTTTAATAAACCCTCTTCCGTACCGAAATGAGTTGAATAAATAAAAGGTAACTTGTAAACAGAGATTTCTCTGTGAAACACTATTTGAGATACTAAAATTGTGTTTGGCATAAACTGTTCTGAATAAAATAAACTATAGTTTTCCATTTCATTTTAAAATGTAGCCTGACATACCTTCTTAATGTTGATGGATTTATCTGATTTATTTTGAGTTCATCTTACATTTTTACTACGTATAGTACACAATACATCATCTAAATAAGTTCTGTACTCTGAAATGATTAAGAAACAATATATTTTTATTTTATTATTGCACTTAAAAGAAAATATCTTTGGAATTTTTGTTTCGTTTAACAACCGTCTACCGAACCACAAAATATTTCGATAATGTTATTGAAGAAAATTGACAAGTCTCAGGTGAATTTTTTCGGGCAACTTATTTTTGGCTTCTTTAAACGAGTTTTTTTAAATTTAAATATTAAAACCCTTTTACCAGCCGTTATGTTATAAGCAAATGTGGAAGAGCCATGCTTGGCTTTGACTCGATTAGAATGATGCTACGGCTTTACAGAAAACCGGCATGAAACAACCACAGCGTTGTGTTTCGCCATGTGAGTGAGGTTACTGAACGCACAAACTTTTCCCTTCCCCCAATTTTTTTATCTCCAAAACCTTAATCTGCAAAGATCGGCAACGCACTCGTATGGAAGCGTTTGCTTACCATTCGGTAATGCGTCTTCTAATTTGCCGTCATATAACATTAAAAAATTAATAGCTACTTCATATACGTGTATTTATATCATCAAAGATTGTACTGTTAATTTATATGTTTAACGTTAATCAAGTTACTGATTGACGAGAAACTCGACTAGTTTCAAGCTACGTTAAGGACTCATATTCATGAGTAACATTGCGCGAAACATGATGCGGCGAACGGCACGCAGCTTCAACAGTTACGTGTTATGTATAAGACGAACAAATTGTAGATACGCTTATTCTAAAATATTAAACACAATATTACCTACTTTACAAAATTCCATTGTTATGAAAATACGTAGAAAAACTGCACATTGAAGGAAAATGAGACAAAGTAGGAAAAAAGACGATGAAAATGTTGTTTTATATACTATATATTTATGGTATGAGGTACACGGGTCTTTTACTAGAAGTTTCAAAGGGTGGACAGGGGAAAATCGCATGGGGATCTTTATTGGCCAATTGAATGTCCTTTACCGATTTTTATCTATGATATGGTTCACAGTTTCTAAGTAAAGTTACACAAAAAGTAAAGAGGAAAAAGGTTTTGTAGAACTTTGTTTTCTTTTGTTCTGTTGTCCGAACAATTTTTACAGTTTTCCATTTTGATTTCTTTTATTTTAAACTAGCTACTCTTGCGCGGTTTCACCCGCTGCTCGACTCCATTTAAACGTAGCGTGATGTTTTATAGCCTATAGCACTCAGGAACATTGTAGCTATCTATAAGTGAAAGAATTTTAGAAATCCGACCAGCGATTCCAAAGATTACCCCTTACATACAAACTTACAAATTTTACCTCTTTATAATATTAGTGTAGATTGTATTTTTTATAAATTTATATTCTACTTTCGATTCCAAAATGCGTCACGTTTTCACTTTTGGATTTATTGCAAATTCAAGTACTTATCTCTCCTTCTGAAGTTGATGGAACATCATTATTTAGATTAAGGTATTGACATGAGTGTCGCGACGTGGCTTTGCGACGTTGCCACGCATCCGCGGAAGTGTTTTGTGTCGCAGAGGAAACATTAGTGGGCCTACAGGCTTTAGAAATAGGACAGCTGCTATCTGACTGGTAGGACGGTTCTTAAAAACTAGTTACCAACTGAATATTTACGAAGCACTTTTGAAGTTGTTTTTTGTAGATATTTTATTGAAAATTCAATATTCGTTGAAACTTCTTCTTTGTAAGAACATTTTAATAGTGCCAAGTTGTTATAATGGATAAATGTTTTCCTGATCTAAATTAACGAAAATGTTTATCTATACTAATATTATAAACAGGTATTTGTAAGCTTGTACATATGTAGGGGGTAAGCTTTGAAACCGCTGGTCGGATTGGCAAAATTCTTTCACTAAAAGATAAGCACAATGTTTCTGAGTGCCATAGGTTATAAAATACCACGCTACGATCAAATAGAGCCGAGCAGCGGGTGAAACCGTGCGAGAGTAGCTAGTTATAAATAAAAAAAGTTTGAGCGAACGAGATTTCAATTAGTTGAAGCTTACATGTGTACTTACATATGTAGTTTTTGGAAAACAGTATTTAATTAATATAATGGTTCGCCTGCTCACACGAGGTTGTCTAACAAACTTCATGATACTTATACCGGTGTCGGCTGTTAGCTTCGATCGAGTTACCAGTTATAATTTCCGGATGGGGGAGCGCAATCGGCGGGCCGCCCGTAATAGATTCCGCCCCAACATCTGATACCCACGATTTCGACGAATTCACGCCCCGAGTATACCTACAAAGTTCAACGATTTCAGTGATTTTACCAACTTCCCCCAATATACCTGATCTTAGTAAGTTCTTTAACGAGACAGCTCTAATGAGTTTTACGGATCTTCTGCTTTTCTTATTCGTTAATTTTTATTAGGTACTGCAATTAAGCACGTTATGTATGTATTATTTAGATGCTATCTGTTAACATATTTTTTATTTTTGAGACAAATTTTTGTTTGATGTTATTTTGTAAGAGAAATCATGTAACGACGTGGATATCCTTTTTTCATCACCTGATGGTATGGTTGCAATCAGCGCCTTCCATGGTGTCCCGTGACAATAGAAAATTACATGGGCTTTGCCAGCATTTTCGAGATAGGAAGGATTTTCCGATTTGAAATAATAGAAGATTATGCCTTGGATAACCTTACGCATACAGTGTAACACAAAGCTAGTACAAGCTGTAGTTGCATACCAGTTTTCTGTGAGGTAGTGATATTACTCCGGTCGAGACGGTCCATTAGTACTTCCACACATCGAAGATGTAATGACGTAAATACCGAGTAAAAAAATGTAAACAAAGGACTTTAATGTTCACAAAGTAGTTTTAGTGTCGTACTGTCTCAGTAATCGCTTCAGTATTTGTTCCACATACGGTACGTGACAGCAGTTTTATCACAGGCTTCCTTCCGACAAAGTCTCAGACATGTCGTAATTTCCGGTCGGCTCGACTTAATGGTAATCGACATTTATACTGGCTCCAGCTGACCTTATAAGTAAGAAACTTTGATTAAACTGAGCCTATATTGATATATCGGATTGTTATACGTTTAGGCTTAAAATCAATAGAGGAAAGGACGTTTGATTTGATTTCATTGGAATGTTTGATTTTTCTCATATTTTAAGCGTGGGAGAACCTTGCTTAGTGGTAAATGGGTCGGTTCCATCGCTGATACGACGGCCTCACACAAAATAAGCGTGCAACTACCATAGCGTTGTGTTTCGCCGTATTAGTGAGGTTACGGCAGGCCTAATCCTTGCCCTAGGATAAAAAGTTTATAACTCGATCTTTCCATAGAAATTAACACTTTGGAATAAAAGAATATCTCACCAGTAGATTTAGTCAAAACCTGACATTTTTTGTCTTTAAATATATTGTTTCAAAAATGCATGATCTAATTGAAATAAATGATTTGAATTTGACTTTGACAAGAGTTATATTTAAAATGCACAGCAGCCATGATGCAAAAATTTTGTGAATATTCTAATGGTATCCTTACCCATTACTATTCAAAAGGCACCTCAGCCTTATGACAGAGAGACGGATGAACGGACGGACAGACGGACAGCGAGTATTAATGAAGTCCCGTTGCCACCCTTTGGGCACGATCCCTAAAGATGAACAATGATTTTCCATTATTTCATGGCTGCAACCTCGGCCTTACCCCCAGTAAGGCCGAGGTATAAGAAAAGGAACAAATTTATTTTTTTACTAGCTTCCGCCCGCGGCTTCGCCCGCGTCAAATTAGTTTTTGTCAACCCTGGTCCCTTATGTCTAAGAGACTCTTACAGGGGCCAGCCCAGGAGTAGCATTTGCAAATTCCACACTTCTTGTGGAATATGAAAACGTACCCCTCTTGCTCATTGCTAAACATAAGCGGGTACTGTAGTGCGTCATAAAACTTTTGTGTGTCGGACACCCTGATCAATGTGTTATCATGGGTTTGAAAAACAATATCGCGCGATGCGAACTGTTCACCACACACCATGGCAGCGACTTCGTTTAATAAGGGTGCATTATAACGTCTTTCATGTTCCCCGCTTGGCGTACGATCTGCGAGTATTACTAATTTGTGATTTTCCCGTGGCATTTTTTCTAAGGCTGTTTTGAAGGTGTTAATGAGGTTATTATGTTGGTGCAACATTCTTTGAATTTTTAAAACAATGTCCCTCTCATCTCCTTCAATATTTTGACATTAACGGTCAAACTCGCTGTTTTCGTCTCCCATAAAATAAATCTATAGAAATTTTGGTTGATCATTGTTTGTGGAAAGCAAAGATCCTATGATAAACTTGCCCTTGTACCGTAAATGTGGGTGAAAATCCAGGCATGATGACAGGAAAAATCGCTGAGATTCATTGCTGTCCTTTCTTCTGTCGTTGCTTCTCGGGGTCACCAAGCGTTGGTACTGATACTTTGCCTCCAGAACAGCACATACCTAGGGTCTCTTCCTTCCACTTGAGTGCCTCATTGTCTGCATTTATTAGCCATTCTATCTATGAGGACTAATCGATGATTAAAGTAATCAAGTAGCAGATCATAATTAAAAGCAGCATCGGCAAATACCTCCCACGTATTCATCGCAAACGTACGTCTCCTTTCTGCTTGCCGCTCGGCATTAATTAAACGTCGTCTACGTGTTTCTTCGGAGGTCTCTGCGGCTATGTACGAAGCTTGATGCTCAGCATCTAAGATTTGGCGAGCTTGGGTGTGTTGAGAAGTCTCAGCAGCTCTTTGATCCGCGTGACGCTCGGCATCAATGATTTGGCGAGCTTGGGACTGTTGAGAGGTCTCAGCAGCTCTTTGAGCCGCGTGACGCTCGGCATCAATGGCTTGGCGAGCTTGGGTCTGTCGAGAAGTCTCATTCCAGTGATCTGGCAAGTTTAGCAGCCCGAGCTCTGGTAGAACTTTTACCTAAATTGGACTTTCGTTTGCGAGGCATCGTAGAACAACAAAAATGAAATGAATCGAACAAAACAGATGTACAGATTAAGATTTATTATATTAAAAAACCTTTGTTCACCCTACCTGCACCTACTTGGATAAGTACTTATTTACAACCATTGCAAAAGTAGGATGCTATTAGATTAATTGAATAAAAAAAGGAAATAAAAGCAAATCGTATTTATTTAAAGTAACGGAAACTATCTTACCTACTTGTAACGTTGTAACTATGAACTAAAAGAAATATAAGTATGTGCAAAATTTATTTACAGGATTAATTAATAAAAAACACCTAAAAAGTTATAGACGAAACAATAAAATAATTTTACTGGATCGAAAAATGTAATTCTCTAAAGCGCAAATTTCTCTTATCGCACCCGACAACGACCTCTGTCCTTACGTGTCTGTCCACTCGGGTAGACATAGATTCATGCGCTTCCCCACCACACGACAGCGCCGCGCCGCACTTCGGCGAATGTGCGCGACGCCGACGGCAGCAACGGCGATGCAGAGTGTTCATTAAGAAATTTATACTTCGAAAGTGAACTATTTTGTAACTTGATACACCCAAAACCCTTCTAAATTACATGTTCCTATGTTCAATAGTTAAGATTTCGTATACCTACATAAAGGTTGGCTTTGTAGATCCCGTTCCGAATCCGTTCCGGGTCTTATCTTCAATTCATCCCCTATTTCACTACATATCACACTGATAAAATTTTCAAAATGGTAGTACAAACGATTTTTTGTTTCTTATGACGTGATATTTGACGAAATTGCATACTAACTTTCAACCCTTATTTCACCCCCTAGCTGGTCGAATTTTCAAAAATGCTAGAACAAATATTTCATATTTTCTTATCAAGTGCTTAAATATTAAGTTTTATGGTTTTATCTTTAAAAAATAAGAAATCCCATACAAACTTTTAACCCCTATTTCAACCCCTTTATCCCTGTTTTTCGAAAAAAAAAGTAGCCTATGTTCTGTCTCAGGGTCTAAAGATTGTCTGTACCAAATTTCATTAAAATCGGTTGCGAGGTTTAAGCGGGAAAGCGTAACAGACAGACAGACAGACAGAGTTACTTTCGCATTTATAATATTATAGTTAGGATTACATTTTTGTTTTCGTGGCAATGTTTGGTCGGTTCCTTTTTAGTATTGTTTTTGATGATGTACAGTCAGCTGCAGAGAAATGGACCTCCCTGTAGTACAAATATGTATGTAGCTATCTGCATAAGGGGATCCTTTTCCCTGCAGCTGAGTGTACCTAATTTTTTTTTATATTATGTGACAGGTCAGCAAATGGGTAAACAGATTATGATTATTATTAGGGTTTCGGAGATTTAGGGATTGGGGAGGGGTAGGGGAGAGTAAGCATGCTCACACGTTCAAACACAATGTTTTGGTAATTTCACGCTGGTTTTCTATGAAGCCGTCGTATCACTCCGGTCAAGCCGATCCATTTGTACCGAAGCATGGATCACGCATTTAAAAGTAATTTATTATTGAAACATTGCTTACATCAATATCTTTTTATTAAATATTTTTTTAAAATAAAATTTATTTAAATGTATTCTAGTAGATACTAGAATAATAACCAGATTATACATCAAAGAATATTCTGAAAACAACGTCAAAAGTCGAAAAAGTTTTAATTACGGCAATTAAACAGTTTCTATTGCTATCAATTATTTTAATCCCAACATAAAAAGTTTTAGAGACTTTTATATGGAAATAATTTTACAACAAAGTGTAATAAAAGAAATTAATTACTTAGCAAACACTTGACGAACAATTAAATCAAAGCTTATTAATTAGTAAGGTTAATTGTCCCATTAATAACAAACGCCACATTTTAATTAAACGATATTATCGAATTTAGAGCTGATTTTCAATGTTTAGATAAAAGTTACCTGCGGGATAAATTATGATGCTGTTGCGTCAGAATGTTTGTATAAGACAGTGACAACAACAATTTTATTGCTCAGATAACATTTATCAGCTTTTAATATTATAATGTAGATTCAGCATTTATTTAGACATGGTTTTTAAAAAGCATTTTTTTATGGATTATTCTATATCCCTACTTTTCACAATATTAATTCACGGCATAAGACATTTTACACAATGTCTCTAGAGATCGAAATTTGAATTAATTTTCTGTTCCATTGTATTTTTAATTTAGAAAGATTTGCTTAAGTTTATTGTATGAGGTCATATTTAAATATGTATACTCGGTATATATCAATGTCAATCTTAGCTTACTTTCTATCTTTAAAGCAATAAGCTACCACGACCGCAACCTGGAGCAGAAGAAGGAACGGAGGTTTTTAGTCAGTAAGATATTACCACCACAAAAAAACATTGAGTTTGTTCCTATTCGTATTATGTCGTTAAACGAGCATATAGATCACGAACTGGGGGCCTAATCCTTCCACTCCCTCATCTATGTCCAATACCTAACACTCCAAAACTCCAGAAAGGCTAGCAACGCACTTCCAACCTTACATAACCTCTATGGTGTAGGTATCTATGGGCAGCGACAATTGCGTACCAAGTCTATATGTATCAGGCAATACGTCTAAACATTTGCCAACGGGTCACATTAAAAAAAGCTTTCGGTGTACAAAAAATGAGCGCGAGATACAGATGGATCTCCTGTGTTTAAAGGACTGTTATTTCTTTTTATATTTGTGAAAAGAGTGCACGGAATAAACAATGAAAGATGTGGAAACTCCTTTTAATTCTTGGTTTAAATGAAATATTGTGTGGCTCGTTGTTTTAAAACTAGTTTATGAAATGTCTGTTGGTTTAAATTCGCTTTGTATTTTAACGTTCTTTAAAAATATTTTTAAGAAGAATTTATTATAAAAATAAACACTATTTGTGTTTAATCAACAGACATACTTGGTTAGTTATGTGCAAAAATATCTGCTTTATATAATCTTTTTTTTTATTTATTTATTTTTTAAATGGAATATGTCGGCAAGCAAGCAGACGGATTACCTGATGGTAAGTAATCACCGCCGACCATGGACACCCGCAACGGAGGAGTTACGAGTGCGTTGCCGACCTTTTAGGGATTAGGGTTTTGGAGATTTAGGGATTGGAAGGGATCGGGGGAGGGGAAGAATTGGGCCTCCGGTAACCTCACTCACACGGCGAAACACAACGTGTTTCGCTGTGGTTGTTTCACGTCGGTATTCTGTGAGGCCGTAGTATCACTCCGGTCGAGCCGACTCATTCGTGCCGAAGCTTGGCTCAATTCAATTACAATAAGTACTAATCTAATACAGAACTGGGTGTTGTTCTAAATTTTGGAAATTAAATATCTATACACACATACAGCTTGTATCATCAATTTACTTTAGAAAACGGTGAACGTTTTCTGAAGTAAATTAACCTTGATGACTTGATTCGATTACATCAAGAACTTATCATTATCAGCACCATCATCATTAATACTTCAGAATAACACATGTACACCCCTAATTATCAAAATATTCAAATTAAATTAAAGGTAATTAATCAAAGTCCATAAATGTCACGAGATCCCATCATAATCGTATTAGTATCATTAGATGGCGTACAGACGGTGGTCGGTCCGTGCAGACTGTTCACTAAGCTTGTTAGATACAGTGCTGACCCCAATCTCAACGTGAAAAGGTCACCAGACATAAGATTACTTAGCTTTGTAAGTGTATAACTAAATACTTACTTCTAGGGTTCTTAGACAATGTCCGCTCATAGTGATAAACAGTGCGTTTTTAGGAAATTTCCGAACTGAGCAGAATTGCGTATTTGTAATGCATAATGCATGTAATGTTTGTGTATTTTATACATTAGTGCCATCTGTAGTAATACATAATATGCTATCTAGGTAATGTATAGGGGTGATGACCGGACGGTTGATGCGGTTACAGGACAACAGACTACCGCGCAATGGGTCGCGGTTTTGATTCCTCCAAACTCGAGTTGTCAAAATCGTCAGATTTCTATTAATGAATTGGTAGGGGATTATGTGTTGTCATGTTATTTAAAATTACGTATGTATATTAAAGTTGCAATGTTTATAAATTTATATTTAATTGTAAGTAATGAAAAATCGTTTTATTTTTGACTAAGTCAAGTACCTACCTATTTATTCCTCTATATTGCGTCTTATAGGTTGGGCTTAGGCTTGATGTCAGTACGAGTATGTTACTACTTTATAAGTCTTGTGAATGTAAGTACAATAACAGAGTACAGTCTCAAATTTGTTCTCTATATTCTATACATAAATAATCTACCTATAGACTTTCTTAATTAATGCGCAGACTTGAGCACCATAATATTCTTAAATAAAAATATTGTTCAAATGTGTCAACATTATATCTACATAGGTTTTTTTTATTTAATATGTCGGCAAACTAGCAGACGGATTACCTGATGGTAAGCAATCAGCGCCGCCCATGGACACTCGCAACGGAGGAGTTACGGGTGCGTTGCCGACCTTTTAGGGATTAGGGATTTGGAGATTTAGGGATTGAGGAGGGATTGGGGGAGGGGAAGGATTGGGCCTCCGGTAACCTCACTCACACGGCGAAACACAATGCTGTGGTTATTTCATGCCGGTTTTCTGTGAGGCCGTGCTATCAATCCGGTCGAGCCGACCCATTCGTGCCGAAGCATGGCTCTCCCACACTTAGGTGTATTCAAATATTCAAAATGGCCACTAAAATATTAAACGCCATGTTATGTGTGGCTGAAAAAACCTTTAAACGATTATAACTTTTTATTGAACTGCAAAAGCAAAACTAGATTTATACTATGAGTTATGTACAAATGCTATGACAACACATTACGCATATTAACCTAATAATTAGTATACAGTTAATTACTTAGTTGTATTAGTTTACCGTACATGGAGTGTCCTTGACGCGACTCCTCAACCTAATAAACTTATCCTACTCTCAGTGCAACGCGGAAATCACTTCTGTATCGAATTACCGTTATTAGATTGGTGCGAATAGATTAGAGATAATTATATTACATTAATTATGGAAGTTTGTATACGTCAATAAAGAAATTGGTATAACAAATATAAGATCAGGTCTGTGGCATAAAGTATGCAATAGTAATAGATAAACCTGTATATAATTAAATAATTGTGTTATAAGTTTATTGCCAATCCTATTTACGTACCTTTCGAATATTTTGAAAAATAATTAAACATCAGCCCATAAGTGCCAATTGCTGAACAAAGGCCTCTTCTTGCATAGAAGAGCAGAGAAGAGTTAAAGAGACGAGTAGGTTAGAGCATTAATCACCACGCTTGCTCAAGACGGATTGGTGATTTCAAACTATCTAGAAATTACAAGGCCAGGGTTCCTCACGATGTTTTCCTTCACCGTTAGTCAATGTTGTTTAAATACATTTAGGAAGTATTTATCAATTAGAAAAAGTAACATTGGTACTTGCCAGGTTGCGAACCCATTTTTTCAGAGACGAAAAGCGGGTGCCTTAACCTCCGGGCCACC